AGAGAGCGGAACGAGAGGGATTCGGAAGAACACAGTGAGGGTTACGGAAGCGCGGCGCTGTCATCCGAACGCCATTCGTTTCGATTTGCGCCTCGGTGGCGGGCTCGACGAGTTCCTCTCTACAGCCGGTAGTGGTTCTCCGCTGGCTTGCCCGGGACCGTTACCGCTCGTTTGCCTGCTGGGCGTGCGAAATGAATCTTTGATGTGTTCTCCTTTTCGTCTTGTTCCTCCATCTGAGCTCTCTTGCGTTCTTAACCCGAAACGGTGTTCGGATCGAGAGGAAGCTCCTACGCGACCGGTCGGTACTACGTAGACCTGCGATCGAGCGTGCGGGTCCCGCGTTCCAGGAAAATGATAATATCAGACATGGAACGAGCAGATGCGGGAGAGGAGGGAACAATAAGAGAATACGTTCCAGGAGAACACCGGCGGGACGTCTCGTCGACTCCAGCACTTGACGTTCCATCTGCGGTTCACTCACAAGAGGCAGTTTCCTGGTTTCTGCGCTCCCCGCTGGGAAGGAAACTCATCCGTGACATTTTAAGGTGGAATGGAGCGGAAAATATATCCATATATGAGCCGTATTCCCTCCACGTCAGTGCGTCCGACCTTGCGTATCAGGCCTGACAGAGTCAGTCAGTCAATCCGTCCATTCATCCGTCCGTCCATCCATCTATTCGTCTGCCGTCCGACCATCCGCGTGTCCCTCGATCCGTTCAACCAACCGTCCGTCCGATCCAGCGACCGATCGCCTCACTGACCGACCGACCGTCATCAAGTCATCCGCATCGGCATCAAGAAGAGTGCAGCAACCAAAGTAGGCCATCTAGACCCAGACGGCGACGACGACGACGACGTTGTTGCCATGCCGCTTATGGAGCAATCATCAGAGCGAGTGAGCGAGCGAGTGAGAGCAGCGAGTTACGAACAAGAAACCGACTGAGGCAAAGAGCACGAAAGCAGAGCTGCTGTTTCCGTCATCGACGTCCCAGTCATCGCAGACGACGTTTCTTGACCCGTGGGAGATCCCAATAATCAGCCGGGGAACGCTGATCATTAGAAAAGCCAAGGAAATAAGGCTTTGGACCTACCGACTGAGCGAGCAAACGGCCCAATGGACAAACGGACGGATAACCGAACGACGGATCCATTATTGGCCCTCTTCGAAACCCCTTTTCCGCGAGCAGGCCGTTGCTTGGTACGTCCGTCTCGCTCGCGAGCTCAGTGGGGCTTCTTTCTTTTTTCGGCCCAATCGACCTTAGTGGTAGTGTAATGTCACTTGAACGATCTCCCTCCGCCAGGCTCCGTCCTCGAAGAAGCTACAAAAGGAAAAACGAATTCTCGGGAGCTCTGTGGCACCCAACGTTCGAATCCGAAGAAACTCGAAGAGTCGAATCGCTCCGTCCGAGGACATCCGAGGAATTTGTGGGAACCACGAAGGGGAACGTGATTCTGCGAGTTTGGAATTTCCGGGATGCGTCCCTCTGACAAGTCTGTCCCGACAAACGGTCCCGCTCATGTCCAAAGGGACCCCTGCTCCGCAGAACCGAATTATCGAGGAAAGATAGCAAGTCAATTAGAAGGGTAGACTACCACCTCCGCCAAAATTGCCGGCGGCGGCAGCAGCAGCAGCAGCAGCAGCAGCGAGCTCCGTAATGAGGTTCAAGATAAAATTCCTCGCAATGAAGGTGATTGTGTGTTTGTATCGCGGACATCGCTAATATATCACCGCATCACATTAAAGCTATATATTCGCTTGGGCTGCGGCGACTCGGTCGTATTTTTTCTCTACCACTGTTCCCGCGAGTACTATTACCGAACATTGTGCAGAGGATAACTGCGCTCATCAAATTCGGTTGCGCAAGTCTTCGACCGTCCCGTCAGATGCGGAGCGGCTGCTGCTGCTGCGGCGGTCGGGTGGCAGAAGCCCGGAATTAGGCATTCGTTCTGTTTGCAGACCGCTCGCAGTTGGTGCTCCGAGCAAGCGATCGGTCGGTCGGTCAGTGAGCCGGTCACTCAGTCGGTGAGGGAGTGTCCGTCTGTCCGTTCGAAGGTCTACTGTCTATCCGCTCCGTGCAATATGACATCGGCTGGCGTCGTTATCATCATGGGTCTTATCGCGACGACGTGGTCTTCCTGATTGAAGATACGATAGCTCATATAAACGCCCTCTGTATGCCTTCCCCCCAACGGCCGTCGCACGATCCGCTCCGGATGGACGTCGCGGCCGCCTACGCATTATGTCCGCGAAACTTCATCGCAAGGTGTGATCGATAGAGCAGAGACGTTCGCATGCTATGGCGCTCGGGGATCGATCCCAATCAATCCACTCGCAAGGAATCCCTGATTCCAGTCAGAAACACTTTCTCTGCACCGAATTGTGGCATCGAGCCGTGTTCTCAGCTGCGGGTTCTACCCTGATCGGAGGGAACATGTTCTCGGCTCGAGATGAGGATTTGGGAATCGGGAACAGAGAGGAGCAAACATGGCGCCTTGTGAGCCGGTCTGGGGAGCTGGCGGGAGAAAAAAATGATGGGCTTAGACACACGAAAAGAACGGAGTCACTTCCCTGGGAGAAAGAATCTGCTAACCAAAAAGAACAGGAACGCAGTCGGGACGGGATGAAGGAGTCCTCGAGTGGTGATGCTCTCGCACCGCCCCACTCTAGGAATAGAAGATTTTCTCTTGCTGCGTAACTCAGACATGAGCAGACATATTTTCTCCACATGAACAAAGTCACAGAGGGGAAAAAAATCCGTCTCGGTGTGTCCGCTTCTTCGCCAGCCAGCCAGCTAGTTGGTGAGGCTCTTCTCGTCGCCGGACAGAGCGGCTGAGTGAGCGTCGAATACGTCACTTGAACAGGCCAAGGCAGAGCCTGGAGAGGAAAAAGGAGAGGCGAGAAAAATAAGCGGAAACTGTGACCATCGCCGCTCAAGGAGTAGGAGAACGAACCGAGAAAGAGGAACGAAGGCGAACACTGATGATGATAGTGAAGAGGAGGAAGAGAGTATGACGACGACGACGGCGACGATGATGGTAGTGCTGATGGTGGCGGCAGCGGTGGTCGTGGTGATCTTCAATCGGACGACGCGCCTCACTGAATTTTCTATTGAAAAAAGAAGAGCCGCCGCTCTGATCCGAAGCGCACAACTGAATGTTGAGCGAACAATTGACTCTTGACGCAAACTCGTTGGCTCGTACTCGCGCTCCCCTCTATCCTCGAAGCTTCCCCTTGGTCTCCTTTCTAGAGAATCGAGCATACGCCGAACGAGGCTTTCGATGCAACGAAAACGAAAGGAGGCGAGCTCGACAACCTTGAACGGCTCACCTAGCGTGGCAAGACCCATAGACGCCTCCTTAGCAACACCACGGAAGCAAGGGACGCTTTCTCCCGGAAGGAGAATCGTATCAGAAAGTCTTCGGGCGGACAAATGCGGTCGATATCATGGTAGCTACCCATTCCGATGAGTAGATAAATTAAGGTTTCTGATCATGGTGTCGTAGCGTCGGGAAATTCGAGGAAGAGGAATTATTCTCAAAGCAATCCTCCGATCTGAACTGTCGTCTGATCTTCGAGAGAGGAGGTTCTGGGAGCTCAGAGCTAATCTCGGCTTCGAGGATCATCAAAGCCGAGTACACTCAAGACTCGGGAAGAAAGTTCTCCCTTTGTATGAGGAGAAGTGAGAACAATTTCAACAACACTCGACCGGCTAAACGTTGGACAGCTGTTTTCTCCGCCAGACCAGCTGGTGAGGGTTATCAAGAGGAAGAGTCTGCGATGAAGGAAAGAGAGAGAATCTACTGTTGCTCTGCAATTAACTGGACTCTATTAATGCTGGGTTTGTCACGTACCTACCCCGAAGGTCCTGCCCACCAGTTGACGATCCCGGACATGATCTGCCAGCCTCTGAATACTCCGCGTTCCAACTGTCGACAGTCGACTAGCCCTGAACGACTTTTTGTCTTTATGGCTTGACGCTCCGGCTTACACACTTGCATTTCCGCGCAGGAGGTGGTCTCCTGGTACCGATTTCCAGGAAAGAATGGATGGTCTCAGGAAGGAAACCGTTGAAAATGAAAGCCACACCGAGCGACGTGCAGAAGCAAAAGTTGCCGGAAGCGAACATTCGACAGCGAGCGAATTAAGTGCGCCCTCGTCGGCCGCTGTACAAAGAGACAGATTGTGAGAGAACGAGTTTACCGCGAGAAAACGAGAGAGAGGGAGAGAGAGTGAGCCGAGCAGCAGAAGAGCCCGCTGAATGAGTTACCGCCTCGGAGAAATGATGAGGATGTGTATGAGAGGAAGGAAACGAGACAAAAGTTGGGAATTGTTGTAACAAGGAGATTTTCGAATTCAAGGCGCGTTTCATTCGGCTCGTGTCCCCTGCTCGTTGCGGTGGATTCTAGGGGCCTCGGATGAGAGAGGGAGCTCGACGCTAAACCAGGAAAGGACTCCGAGGAGGCTCAAGTCCGACCGATGGGTGGGCGAGTGAACGGACGGGAAGACGGACCGACTAAGAGAGTTCGGATTCGAGGGAGCCGCGCGCGCGGGTCTCAAACCGACAGGAGAAAAGGAATCAACTCGTTCGTGTTTTCAAACGACACAACAAACTCCTTCCTTCCATTCAAGCGTCCGAAGGACTCCCGCGAGCTCTCGAGTGGTTCCGCCTTCGACTTCGATTCCTCGCTGCTCGAGCCTGTCCCGAATCCTGTCGTTGGAGAGTTCAACTACCAAGGGACCAATTTTCGCATTGATCACAATGATTCATATCCGATGCGTCTGCGTACCCCACGTTCCATAGATGCCCCGTCCCATCGGACTGCGATATTCTAAGACCCTGATCTCATTGAATCGAAATCCCTACGCCACCGCGCCGACATTATCCCATGAGCATCATCGTCCGATCCGAATAATCCATTCAGTACCGCGAAATTCTCCAAAATAATTCCCGAGGAAATTCAACGGTCCAGGAGGGAAACTCGGAGGATTGGAGTCCGAAATGTCGGCGGGCCAGGAGAACGGTGCGGATTCGGACAGTATGTCGGTATTTCCCGAAGAATTCGCTGACAAAGAGCCAAATTCCGCACCGAATAACGACGCGATCCTCTTGAACAATGGCTCCGTCGGGAACTCCAGCGACCGACCGTGAAATGACCTGTGACAACAGGGGCGCGGCGGCGGAGCCAGCGCCGGCACAGCGGAAAGCAAGAGAACTCGAGCCGAAATCATCCGTTCCACCGTCCAAGCAGTCCATGGAGGGAAGTCGCTGTCAGCGCGAACCGGAGTGCGAGAGAAAAAGCTTCCATCGATAGTCACGCCGTGATGCATTTGTTCCTAGGAGCAGTTGTTGGCAGGCTGGCTGGCTGGCTGCCCTGGAGTGCCGATAGCTGGGCGCTGCTGGCATCTGGAAAAGGGAGAACAGTGGATAGTGAGGAACAGAGAGCAAAGTTTCGGTCTGACAGAAGTAGTCCGCCGGCCTGAACTTCCGTTTGACGTAGACGTGTCATATTAATGATCCGATTGTTGTCCTCTGATGAGTTTCGCACCGAAGAACCATCGAGTGAAAGTTCGATTACCCAGGTTATTTCTAAAAGAGGGGAACGGCGATGGTGCCTGGTTTTGACGGGAATATTTCTATCCGACCCCGCCTTCTCTCTTCCCCCTTCCCCTCCACTGGCGTAAGTCGAGAACCGGTGCAGTTCCGATCGAAATGACTGCAATAGGAGGCGGCGTTGGTTCTTTGCTCGCGGATCCAGACCCTGACGATCCTCCTATCAGGATACGATGTAATACATAACGTCAGCTGACTCTCCGAAAGTAATTTGTTAGGCCAACTCCGACCGGTCAATCAGCAGCGTTGGATGTTGTGTTTGTCAACTTAGGGAGAGCCGGGTTCGGTCGGCGGGCAAACAGGCGAACGAGTTCTCTAGCGTTGCTGCTGCTGCTGCTCGTTAAGAGACTTCAGCAAAATCCTCTCGCCGGACCCGTCTACCCAATCTGCTCTTCCCTTATCTTCATGTCTTTCCCCTACATTCAAGCGAACATCCCTCCGAGCCATCCAACACCCTCCCACCCATATGTACAGCCACCCACCACCACCCCAGCGCTCGGCCAACGAGCCCACCATTCAACAACCAAGCCACCCACCCGCCAGAGCGGCCTGCGTGGTGTGAACGTTGCAGCCCGTAACGAGGAGGCGAACTAACCAGTCAGTCATTCGCCGCACAAACAGGAGTCATTCGGACAAACATTTGTTTTTCGACGGTTCGGATGACTCGCGGTGAGTGTCTGTTCCCTCGTTCACTTAGTCGGAGCTCGAACGCCGCCACGGGGTGTTCGTTTTGGAGCCGGCGAGGAGGGAATCTGTTCGGGAGCGCCGGCGATAACCGGAACGTTCGCCGCGGCGGTATCAAATCTACTCCCTGGAGCGCACCCAACCCGTTCGAATGTTCAACGGTCGGGTTTTCTTCGGCGGTCTCCCAGCCTCTCTCTGCTGGACGGGAGCCGTAGAGCCGCAATATCTTATGCGCGTTCAGCTATCAAACCTAGGAAAAAGCTCGACCCCGTCCACCACTGCCTCCGTGCTTGCCTACCGTTGGACCGATCGGCCGCCGGCCAACGAACCGTCAGACCTACTACCGACCAGGCCATTGCGGCGGCGGCGGCAGAGCAGCTGGCGGCGAGAGACCATTAAATGAGGTTGGTAGCGAAATTCCGCTCTCCTTCCGTTCGCTCCCTTCAAAGCAATTCAGAGGAAACGACAGTCGAGGAGAACGCGAGGAATTTCGCTTTTCGAGTTATCTGATCGCGGCGAACTCAATTCAACCTGATTCCGAGGATCGGACAAAGGTGAAGTGGAGCGCGGGCCTTGAACCCAAAGTCGGGAGTGAAGAGGGTCGGTGACGTCAAAGGAATAGAGGATCCGGGACACGTCTCGGTTCGCTTTCTGGTTCTCAATGTTGGTGTTCTAGCGATAATTCACCTTTGGTTTGTTTCTTGCAGGTGTTGCGGTGTCCGGCAGCATATCAGACAACGACGTATTAGGACCCCATCTAGTGAGCGAGTTTTCATCGGCGTCGGTGAAATTCTCAAATTCAACGGGACACGTTCTCGACTGCCAAGTGCGTGGGCAGCCTCCACCCTCCGTCCGTTGGTTCTATCTGACATCCAGTGGATTTGAACAGGAAGTCTCTCCAGTGGATCGGCTTCGGACAATTGTCACTTCGAACGGATCACTTGTCTTCCCTCCGTTCCAAGCGGTGCAATTCAGACCCGATGTCCATAACGTGGCTTATCGCTGTCGAGCTTCAAACATCTTCGGCTCGATCGCCAGCACTGTGATCCACGTCACTGCAAGTGAGTATCGCGTCGAGTCCGAAGGAACGCTCCCATCTCCTTCCGTCTCGTTTCGAACTCGCATGGAATTTCCGCCGTCTATCCCGATCATCAAGGAGCTGCGTTGCGGATCCAAAGCGGATCCGCCAGGCGGGAGGGAATCAGGATTGCATCCGGACTCGCCGGGCGGTTCTGAGAGTCGCCCGGTTGGCTTGTTGTAGCCATGGGCAAGGCGATTTCCCGCGGCGGATTCCTATTTCAAACTGAGGCTGGCTCGGGGAGCCTCGCGGAAGGAGGAAAACATGTGAAAAAAGAACGGGAAAGCCTGCTTTACATTAACGGAATCAGCGAACTGTTAAACCCCGCCAGCGGAATAGGAGCATGCAGACGGAAAAAGGGTTCTCAGGCAGAAGAAACTTGTGTTGTGGTGGTGGTTGTGGAGCTGACGACGGTAGTGGTTGTTTAGGGTAAAGGACAGGGGGAACGACACGCTCGCTGGACGGACGGACGTTCGCTTGGCGCAGAGAAGGAGAATGATTACGAGAGGAGCTCCAACGACAACGGCAACGAGTACCTTCCAGTGTGGAAAAAAAAAGGAGAAGAGAAAAAGTAACATCGACGGGCTGGCTGGCTGGCGGGTGGGCAGGAACAGAGGCGGTGAGGTTTGGGCGGAATAGGAGGGCGTGGGGGAGAAGACGAAAGAAGCAGCGAGTGCCGAACTAAAAACTCTGTGTCATGTTCTTGAGAAATTGTGGCAACGAGCCAGCCAGTCAGCTCCTGGGACGCTTGGCTACAAATAATGCAGCGGCGATGGCGGCACCAAGCGGTGGGGGTGATGATTGATGAAAATCGAATATGATGCAATTTTTATGACCCTGCTCTTGTCCTCAGTCCCTCTCGACGAGTCCTTCCCGATGAAAGCACCATTTCATTTTGATGGCTGGCTGACTGACTGGCCAGCCAGCTCGGCTATCTTTTGCTCCTCGCCTCCCCCCCTCCTCCGACTGCGACCCGTCCATCGATTCCTGATTCCGTTTGCTTTCTTTCTGTGGCTCATCTTACTTTCTCGCTCCTCCCCAAGTTGCTCTTTGTTATTGGCTCCCGACGAAACCCCGCGCCTGCTCTCGGCGGGAAAAAGTCTGCGGAATTCTTTAGAAAACCTCATTATAAGTTTAAAAACGCATTTTTCCCTCTCTTTGTTGAAATGTTGACAGCTTCCTGTGGGATCTCAGTAGGCAACCGAGAGAAGTCGGCTCGTCAGTAAACCAGTTCGAGCATTCGGGGCACCGATAAAAGTGCGCGGATTCAAGTAAAGTGCTTTCGATTTTGGCGGATCGCGATCGTTCGTGGGATGGTCTTCTATGGAGCGCGAGCGCATGTCGTTGTCGCTCGTTTGAAATCTCTTCACTTCCTTCCTAGAGCCCTCCCGCCCGCTCACAATTTCCCGCTCTTGCTCCTTTTTCCCAAAACGGGCCGCCTGTCCGCTTGGCGTGCGAGCGACCGACCGACCAACAGATCACGCTGTCGTCCTCTCTCTCAGTATTCGTTTCTCACCAGTAGTCGAAGTTGTCCCGGCGACCAGGAGGCGACTTGAAAAATGAGATCTGCTTGTGTTTGGGGCAGGGAGGATGTATGGCTGAATTTGCGGTTGAGTTGGTGCAAGCTCGCTCAGTCCGATGTACGACTTTACCGGGACCGTCATTCTCTCGCCCTCCCGAACGGGCGTTTCTCTCGGCCGCGAGCCGCATCTTTAACTGACGTTTACAAGCTTTTGATGTCCCTTCCCGGCGAGCCGCACAACTCACTCACTCGCTCCACTCGTTTGTTTGTTTGCTCGTTCTTCCCTTTGATTCAGGTAGTCCGGGTCCAAGTCGAACTTTCTTCTCCCTTCGATCTCCGCCCCCCTTCCTCTCCCCCACCGTCTGGACCGCATTCATCGGAACACCACAAACGAGAGCGAAGTCAATCGTACGCGGGCCCGGGAGTCGACGAGGACCTTTTCCCTCAAATTCTCGTTTGCGTACCCTTTTGCCCACTCAGTCGCGCGTAAGCCCGCCAGCCAGTCCGCCCACCGAACTGTTCGATCCGGTCGTTCTCTCTCGCCGAAGTGAAATGATGTACGGGAGAAATGTCGTGCTTTGCGGCAGTCGTTGGTCCTGAATGATTCGACGCACCTCTACTCCGAAAGCCTCGTAGCGGACGAATCGGCGTTGACGTGGCGTGATCGTCTCTCCCGGCCGTGTTCGTTTCTTCGGTTTCTGGTCGAAACCTCGATCGACTGTAACGACGGTCATCCGAGCGGCTTTGGTCAATCGCTCGCTCCCTCTCTCGTGCGAGGACGACAGGAGCGCTGTTTGCACGTTGTCCCCGTTGTCATTCCCTCTGTCTGTTTGACAGATCGCCAACAGATTGTGTCAACTATCCCCGACCGATGTGTTTCGTAAGCTCCGCTCTGGTGGGCAAAGCTCGCTGAGCCCCTGGTGGTCTATCTGCTCCGAGAAGTGAACTCCGTGGAGTGTTTGACAAAGAACGATATTTTTCACTGCGAGATCTGCGAAAGCGAAATCCCGCACAGCGACGCCGTCAGGCATCGTTCTGGAGCATCCATTGTCTGTTGGTATTTGCGCGAAAGGATTGCGGTAGCAGCTGAGAACGCTACTCCCGGCCCGATGTGTCCGCCGTCCGGCAGTGAGGGGTCGAGATGTTCGTCATCAATAAATCGATATTGCCCTGCCCCGAAGCCGCTATCCATCTATCTATGTTCCTATCCATCCATCTGCCCATCGGAACAGCCGCTTGGCTATCCGGAGACGCAAACACACAAGTCGCTCGGTAGCCTTGCGAACGGCTGACGCGCAGGCTGCCATTACCGAATCACTCTACTGTAGATTGCCTCCAGTTCGCGCATAGCAACTCCTATCTCACGCGGGTAGGGGGGGAGGGGGCGGTGGGGAAATCGTGCCCAGATTCCGTCGCAAGTTTTCTTAGCCCTGAGCCGCTCCACCGCTTGCATTGGCATCTGCTCCCGGGAGGCTGGAGACGGAGCTAGCAATCATCTGAAAATTGAATAATCGAGACCTCCGTCCCGTAAGGTCCTGGAGAAGCGGCGTCTCGACTTACTTCTTCGAGTCTCACGAGTATCGCTCAACTCCACTCTTTCCCCGCTGAGTCGAGGTCACTGTACGCTGGAAGTTCCGCATGGCGCTTTTCGACACGAATCCGCTCGATTTCCAATAATGACCATGAGTTATCGGGGCCCGGGGCCCTCCGGGAAAATTTCGAAAATTGAGTCTCTTTCGCGGAGAGAGTTGCTCTGGCTATCTCGCGGCAAAAACGCTGCGCTGGAGCCCGTCGAGGGTGACGCTCCGTCGCGCCATTGATGAACAACTCGTCGAAAGCCGAGACAGCTGAGTGACCTGTTGACCGAGTGACTGATTGACTGGCGACACCCGAAAAAGAAACAGACAAAAAAAGAAGACGCAAGTAGGGGGAACGAGAAACGATGAGCCGACAGGAAACACCATGGGAGTCATTGAGACTAGCGGCTCCGGACCGACCGATCCTCTCGGCCACACTCGGCTGGGAAACTCCCGTAGACGAGTGAGACGCAAGCAGAAGAACATCCGACGTCTGCCGAATGGGAATTGATTGCTGCGGGTAGGGTGAGCGCGGACGAAGCAAGCAAACTTCGTCGTCTTGTTGACTTTAGGCTTTTCTGTCGCCGAGGTTTCGCCGTTGAAACCTCGGCTCAGGCGGCTCAGCTTGCTCGCCAGGGGTGGCGGAGGTGTGGAGGATTCTATTCAGGTCGGGTGCCGTTCGAAGCGCGGTATTTGTGGGCTTGCCAGTGATGGATGGCAGGTGTCAACTTGTAGGCGTTCAGGCTTCCCTCTTCTTTTTCTTCCCCTTTCACTTTCGACCTCTTGACGAAAGTATCTTCAGCGGCTGTGCGCCAGCGGAGCTCACCTCAAGGTGGAAGGTCGAACGTCGAACTCACGGATACGCTTTCAGAGCAGCACACCCCGGACGATCCCGGATTTCGAGCGTTACCTCGATGACGTGCTGATGGGTCTCAGATGGGAACTCCTTGCTTTGCGACCAATTCATCCATCTATGGCATACTGCCAACCTATTGCGTTCTCCTTTCTTCATCCTCATCTCGGTTCCGCGGTCTAGCCTGAATCCGTGGATAACCGGGACATTACACAACGCGTTGAATCTAGGTGTCCGCATTCCTTCATATGGCGCAAGGATTACCCTTGAATTCACGTCGGTCGCAATGGCATATCGACATCGTCGAATGGCACTCCATCGGCGTATTCAGGGTGCTGAACACAGCAGGGGAGGGGGAGGGGAACGGTGAGGAAAAATTACTTTCCTCGGGTCATTAACTCACCAACGGCGTTTCGTTCCAGTTGTCGAGCAATACTTCGAAGTGCAAGTGTACGACGAATTCACGATAGCTGGGAACACGGCTGTGCTACGATGTCATGTGCCCTCATTTGTTCGGGACTATATCGTCGTAACCGGATGGCAAGCGAAGCCTCCAACTTCTCCAAAAGTGCAACCCATCGATAATGGTGAGTGATCAAAACAGTTCTCAGTCCACTGAGTTTTTGCTCGGGACGGGACATATCACGTTGAATTAAGCACACGTACAAAGCGCTCTCCTCGAGACGCGTCGAATGGAATCGTCCGGCCGCCTGGTCCGCCCACGGAGACCCTCCGGGAGTAGTCGGTAACCCTGAGCCCTGATATTATTCTGAGTAGATTATCGTGGACCGGTTCCTGGGAGACTGAATAGGCAGAGGCTCTCGCGAAGGTTGCGGGGAAACTTTCGGAGGATCGTAGCCGATTGTCTGACTGAGTTATCAATGGCGATACGGGTGAGAGTGAGCAGCCGATGCTAAAGAGTCGACTACAATCCTCTGAAACCCGAACGATAACTCAATCTCCCTCTATGGCCGTCGGACTCAACCGATACGATATGTCTAAGGTTGTAGTCAAAGCATTGATAAAAAGAAAAGCTCTGGGAAAACTTTTTACGTCACTGAAATGATCGATCATGCTGACATTGATTACTGATTTGGTCAGACGGTGGAGAGTGAAGCCGACTCTGGCAGCAGGAGACACTCTGCGAGACGGATCCATGTGGTCACCAGTGGGGTGGGGAGAGAGAGCCGAGAGAACATATCATCTTCCAGATTTGTGGACCCGGGAAGGAATGGATTCCCAAGCATGTCATCACAAACTATCTGAGTCTCGCTGTGAAACTCTTCGGAGGGGAATGAGACAACGCGACTCCGTCTCTGCACTCGATCCCGCGTGCTCAATGGGATCATTTAGCTGCGCACGCTAACCGAGCAGATAGATGCATTCCCATATACGTACTGAAGAATTTTGGGGTTCTTCGATCGAGACGATAGCTTCGCTACAACCGGAATTCCCTCTGATTCGCATCCCGTAACCTCAATAGAATTGAACGAATCTCTGCTCAGTTAGGTATGTGAGTCCAGAGGTCCTGCTCGAAACCTCCCTTCCTCGGTGATGCTCAGCGGGATCGGGGCTCTCACCAGATACGGAATGCTCCTCGTTCGATGGAGTTCAGCTCCAAGTCTGGCTGAGGGGAAGATAACGACGAAAGGCAAGCCGTTCAGGAAAGCCCGGGACACAAAATTAAAATCCAGGGAAAGAAGAAAGATAGCCACGTAGAGCCTCTGGTCCGCCACAGAGGACGAGCTCCGCTGCTGCCTTTGGAGATTACAGATGTACATGATATAATATCGCAATAATAGGCAACGCACCTTCTTGCAGATGGCCGCTACAGTATTTTCTCGACGGGCGAGCTCCACGTGCGCAACGTCCAGACATCGGATGGGCTGACAAACTTTCGATGCGTAACCAAGCACCTACTGACAGGTGAAACAAAACTGAGCTCTTATGGACGATTGATCGTCACGGATCTCAAGATCAACGTGCCTCCGAAAATGACAGATATCAAAGGAGCTGTGATAGCGAGCGCAGGCGAAGATCTCGAGCTCCCTTGTGCGGCCCAAGCTTTCCCGGCGCCCAAGTACGCGTGAGTATCGCTCAGTCCCTGTTTTCGGAAAAATGAAGCGGCCAAGAAATTCTTTACCAGAAGTTCCGACGGATAAGCCTCCGGAAGGATGTTCGACCCGGAGTTCCGGGTAAAACCCCGCTTGATGATTTTTCTCGCGTTTCTTTCCCGTCCGCAAAATCTTCTCCTTCTCTGCCGAGTGGAAGTCGTCATCAGTCACTGCAGCAGATGCAGCAACAGGCAGGGCCGCATGGAAATAGAAAGACTGCACACCTACATGTGGCTGTTGTCGGAGAAATTTATTCATAAGAAAAGTTCACACCTGTTTGTTTTTGACTCAACAAGCAGTCTCAGGGCTGTGACTCGGTCTCCGCGTATGAATGCATATGAAGGCACAAAGGAGAAAGGGATACCTTCGGGGAGAGAAGGCAACATGTTCTCCGAGGGTTAACGAGAGAAGCGTTCGCGAAGACTGCGCAACAAGCAGAACCAGTGAAGCTCTATTTTTCGCAAGAAATACGCAAAGCGCCAGTCACCCGATCACTTCAGAAAAAACGCCGGGAAGGACTCACTTCTGGAAGAATTAACTCCTCACTTCCTTGTCGAATACAGGTGGTACAAGGCAATGGGCGAGAGTCTCACCACCCTTCCGAGTCATCGATATCTTCTCAAGGGAGGCTCGCTCTTGCTACAGAAGGTTCGTTCGAGCGACGCCGGCAAGTACGTCTGCATTGTCAGCAATCCGGTGGGCGAGGAGCGTGCTTTCACCAGTCTCCAGGTTACCGGTAAGAATCGAGAATTCCGCCAGATCTGTGCCTGATCATATCCTCGTCATTGACGTCTTCTTTTTATCATTCTGTGGAATTCATCTCAAGCGTGACAAAATCCGGACGTCGATGATTTACTCTTGTGGAAAACAGCCTTGAATTCTTATCCTTATTCTTGAGAGACTCCTCCAGCGAGAAATCTCCGAGCAGCACGTGTGATGGAGAAAGCGAATGCGCCCCTCACCGCCGTGTTGCTATCCAAATGCTCGCCTGCGCACGTATGCGTTCCGTGGGACGATTCTCCTATTCCCCTCGAGTCCGCACGAAGATGCCCCACTCCAATTATCCGGGAATCGTTCGGGATATCGCAATTATGTTGCCGATCCCCGCGATTCTAATGCCATTCTAAGTCGAACCATTCTCGCGCGTAATGCGTTGCGCTCTCTTCCCGGGAGCGGCAGCCGCGTAAAGAGAAACGGGGAGAGGAATATGGCTCCGAGCGGCAATCAGTTTTAACCGATTCCGTGTCAGCCGAGTTGCAGCAACTGCTCCGGGCCGAGTCGGGACCTCCGAGAATTGTGCTGTGCGAGAAAATTCAGATTCCGGATAATAGTTGTTTAACAACGAACAGCGCACTGTCTTGCCGACGGAGCTGGTAATGCGAGATTGCGATTGCAGACGCCACTGGCGGATCGCGACGGCGCGGCGGGCGGCGCTAACTCGCTTAGTCCCCCGCGTCGCCCCTCACGGTCACCGCCGCGGCCATTTGTTCCCCCCTGTGTCCGCTCTCTTCTGAAGCGTCTGTGTGTTCATATGTGCGTGCGTGCGTGTGTTCCTCCTTCCAGAAACCTCTTGGTCCTCCCCAGCAATGCGCGGTGTCATCGTCGTTCGCTTCCCGTAGAGGACGCATATGCGAGCGTGAATAATACATTGTATGCTGTCGGCAAATGGGAGATTCCTCTCGGAGACATTAGTCTCCCGAGCTGGACTGAACAATCTTTTCAGGGCTCCCTTCTAACAATGCAGAGTTATCCATCTGGCTGGAGCTCGGAACCTCCTCTGTACTAACTGAACGCGGGTCCCCGTTTTTTTTCCGTCCTCAATGGTTCTTCATTGTCGGTTTCAGCTCCTCTCCGAGTGGCTCTTGTGCCTCATGTTCTGACGGTTCACATCGGGAAGAGCGCGGTGCTCAATTGCTCAGTGAGCGAAAACCACGTCGAGGTCATCCAGTGGCTCAAGGACGGACAGCCCATCCCATCGAGCGAGCGTTTTGAATTTCTATCGAATAATCGAATTCTCCACATCAACTCGATACAGCGCCACGACGGCGGCATGTATCAGTGTCTAGTGACGGACAATCAGGGCGCGACCGCCCAAGGAACTGCGCAGCTCACCCTCGGAGGTTCGTCAGAGGCCTTCAGGCCAGCCGTAATGAAGTTATTCAGGGGTATCATCGGTCTGATTGAGGTTTCGAACCAGTTCGTATGAGCACGCGCTCGTTTTCGAGCTATCGCTGCGGAGAACGACTCTGACTCGAAATTCTCTTCATCCTAGATTCGGCCCCGGTCATCGTCGAGAGCTTCAAAAGCGTCACCTTGAAAGTAGCTGAAGCCGTCACGCTCAAATGCAGTGCAACAGGCTCCCCTGCTCCGTCACTGAATTGGTTTCTCGACGGAGATCAAATATTCCCAAATCGAGGGAGATTCCCTATCAACTCGTTCGGAGTTCCGGGCGACAGTCGCTCGGTCGTCAGTTACGTGAACATCAGTCGGGCGCAGGTCGAGGATAGCGGAATGTGGACTTGCGAGGCTACTAACAGCGCCGGCTCAGTGCTTTTTTCGGATCGCGTTAACGTGCACGGAAATCTCGCGATTCGACCGATGGCGAACACGTCAGCTGTCGCCGGGAAAGACGTCGTTCTCCATTGCCGGGTTACTGGATACCCAATCGAATCCATCGTCTGGAGCAAAGGTCCGTATGTCTTCTCTTGTCCTTTTCGGGCAACGTAAATATCTGCACACTCGGTGATAATAATTGCTGCATCATGCCTCGAATTTTGCATGATTTCGTCGTATCAATCGAAAATTGTAGTTATTGCCGTCACCTCCCGAATAATTATGAGACTACCCGCCTCTCGAAAAGAGACCGACGGGCTCGCTCATGAGAAAGTGCTCGCCCTCCGTGAGTTTCTTTCCGTGACTTCTGACGGTGAAAGGAAACTGCTCGAGCGGGAGACAACCGTTTTCCCGAGAGGGTTTGCGTCAGGCGTTCTCGACAGTATGTTTCAATACGCGCTGCTGGCAAATATTTCGTGCTGAGGATTCGATCCTCCCAGCAATGTGGGTTCGCTCCCCACGCGCCGAATCTTGGCCACGAGGTCAAGTCTCGAACGAATCGTACGCGGAGTATCCGGTTCCGATGTCGGCCCTAAATGCTTCCAAGGGCTGGACGTGGAGCCTAAACTCAAATGTTCCGAACACCGATCTCTCCCGCCGGGAGCTCGCCATCGAGTGCAACGTCTGCTCCGTGTCATCAACCTGTTTGTTAATCAATGACAGCCGTTGTCAATTCCATCATCATTATGATAAATGAACTCGTCGGAGAAGCTCCTGTCGCTCGCCGTGCCTGGTTTCCTTACCTACTCCGTCTGATATCATCTGATCTCCTTCGAGGAAGCCTCTGGCTGTCCGTCCCGAGTCCCGAGTGAATGTCGGCAGGTGGCTCCAGCCGATTGAGACAGAACACCTTTCGACGGCTCTGTCGGGATTAATCCTAGAGAGGACTCGCAGCGAAGGCGACGACAATCGCGTCTGACCCTTCCGCGTATCAGGGGAGCGCATTGGAGACTTCGGTACAGACTGCTCTTCTGTCGGATCGCCCGATAGGGAGGTAGCAGTCATTGGTTGGAAAGAGAAAATAATGAATTCCCAAAATGCGCGCGGGAGTCGGACGACACTGTTAGGCATCTCACTCTTTCGTCTCGGTCTTCCTGCTCTTTCGAACTCTCGTTTTATGTCGCTTTGATTACTTAGGAGACCGAGTCCTTTTGTGTACTTTGCCGTCTGTTCCACTCCCTAAGCCCACAATGGCGAGCTGCTCGTCCTATTGTTTGAGATATCGATGCTCCGCGCACTTTCCGGACTCTTTCCAAAAGGAGTTCAGAACTGGGGACCCGAACGGGAGCCGAGGAAGTTTTGTCCACCTCCAAGTATCGTCATCGGCGGACGAGCTCGATCGGGGAAAAAGAGTGTTCCGTCGATCCGTGTTGGGTGGGAAGGGAAGAATAGAGGAGAGGAAGAATACTCGCAGAGGAAAGCGTTGATTCACCCCATCAGGAATCCTCAAAAGCAATGAAAGAAGGAGGAAAGCGAATGTTCGAGCCTAGGGATCGACCGGAGAGCATCACAAGATGCGAGTACGACCACTGGAAACGGCGACTCGGGAAACGAGAGGGAGATGATCAAGAAGAGGAAGAAGAAGACGCCAATGAATGCAATATATCAATTGCTTAGCCCATTCAGAGCTCTCGGGTTTTTGCTCCTCTTTCGTCGTTCGGCTCCCAACGACGAGACCCCGATGGCTATTCGGGAAGAGCGGAGTAGGATCTACTGCACCAGAGGCAGACCGTGGCTCTCCGCGGCTAATAAATGAGCGCCATTTTTCTCGCATTGTACAACTACCGCAAGTCCGGTCGTGGTTTTCCGCCCTTATTTTCCTTTTCCCGCTCGCTCCAGGGCTTTCCATTCGGTTTCTCATTTCGCTTCCCCGATTTCTGTGTTCTCGTATTCATGAGCTTGCTTTAGTCCGCAGGAAACCTGCGTCCAACGCACACGCCCAAATGTAGTATTTTCAAAACTCCCGGGTCTAATGTCTCGATACATTCTTTGTATTCCATAAATAACTTGAATACTTCCGCGGCAGGCGACGCTCTCTGGTATCACGTAAATTGCGTGAGACCAGTGTCCGATGAAAAATGATCCCCGACGTTGACAATTCGCTCAGGCTCTGGCATGCAGACATTCCGCGAAGCATTTCTATCCGGCTCCTTGCACGTCCTTGTAATTCCGGCAACGTCAACGATCCGACGCATCTGGCTTGAAATGAGGTCTGGCTGCGTCGAGTTATGGCCTGGATCGTTGCTGCTGATGTTTTCCCGACCACTGTTGCTCAGGACGCGTCATTCGACGTAGCCTGAATCATGTCCCGTCTTGTGTACCGAGTTATGACTTTCAATGCAGTAAGCCTCGCCGATTGAGGGCTAGATTTACTGGCGGAGCTTTCCGATGAATCTGCTCTCGGGCGGAGGAGCTGCTCCGGGAAGAAGCGGTGCACCGACTCTCATCGGAGCTCCAAACAGATACTTCGTATTAAGCGTTCTTCTGTGGCCCTTTCCTCGATCCTTCGACGGGCTGCCAGACGCAGGGGCGGGTCCACTGACCGAGAGAAACTATGCCGAAGTAAGCGACTGACCGAGAGACCTCTCGGCCGTTCCGCGGCCCGCGAATCAGCGGGCCATAAAGCCAGCCGCTCACTTCAGTCTCCCAAAACAAATCGTACGAGCTCCGCCGGAGAGCGATAAAAATCATTCGGTTTCACCGCAGATATTCCTTGCATCGATACGAGCTAGGTGTGCACCGATCCCTCAACCCGCGGCTAGAAGTTCTCGTTGGAAACGTGGGGTACGAACACGCAGCGGACTCGACCGCCATGTCCACGCTGGTGTGTCAGATTCTGGACGAATCAGGAGGCGGTTTCACGACCCCCTCCCAATTCGTGAAAGCTTCGAATGCTGAAATCCCACATCTGGATAGATATTATCACCGGCATTTGATCCACCCAGCCATGTGGGTTCGCTCCCCACACACCGGAAAAAAACCCTCTGTTTAAGTTCCGCTGGTAGAGGCTTTCGATTTGTCTCCCAACAGTTCCCGCAATAGACATCAAGTGACCGGAAATGCTGGATGGCGATTCCAGCGAGAGCAAGGGCTGACTCGAATATCCTTCCTCAGGTGCTCGACCCTTGCCTTTGCATCATCGACAGAAGGTCTTCCCCAACGGCACTCTGATCATCTTCTCGGTGACGACGGAAGATGCCGGACAGTATTCGTGCTTCGCCAGAGGAAACGACAACAATGCCACAGCAAGTCTCTTCATGATTGTCAAAGGTAAGTCATGTAGGCGGGAAATTCGAGGCTGCTCCCGAAGTCGTTCGTCCGTCGGCTGATACTCTTCTCGCCACCCTCCTCGCCTGTCCCTCATCTAGATTCCACAGTGAACGTGCGTCGTCGATTGGCGTCATTCCGCACTTTTATCTCTCGAGCAGACGTCGGATACGGATAAACTCTTATCAGCGAACCAATTCGGTGTCTTCCTCTTCTGAAGACGTTCGCTCGTCCGCCCATACTTCCGTCCTCCGTTTCGTCTACGAGCCACGGCCTTGAGAGGGGCTCACCCACAGAGGTCGCTCAATAAGAGTTGACGTAGCAGGCGGTTCTCGCGAGGTCGCCATTCTGCCCCCGATTCGAGGTCCGCGATCGCGCGGTCCATTGTCTTTGTCCTGACGTCAGAGAAAGGGAGAGAGGAAAATGCACTGAATAACCGAAAGCCTGTTCGAGGAAAAGAAGCACATGCTCAAACAATGGCCACCTGCGGAACGGCTTGTACCACTGCCGGCACCGATGTAATTTTCATTGCCGTCTGTTACAACAAAGCCGCCGCTGCTTTCATGAGCCGCTATGGCCGCGCGGTGTATGAGCGAAGCTGACAGGACAAACGCACGCGCACTATGGCCCTCCCGGCAAAACGGGAGAAATGAGCGGACGGGACTGACAGCGATCCGAGGGAGGGCGGGCGGTACCAAAAACAGCCGCGCAAAGAGAGTTAGAAACGAATCGCGCTCCGTTATGATGGTAGGGTGAAGAGCTCGCTCCATTGTTCGGAACGACTGGTCATTCTCCGTGTGCTGCCCGTTCCACGTCTAGTCGCAGTCTCTCTGACCAGTTCACTCAATCGCAGTTTTGGTCCAGCTCACGGCTCCAGCTCGGATGGGACGTCGAGATATATACGCAATTCAATTTCGTCCCTTTCGATAGCCCGTAGCGCTGATTTCCGGAGGTGACGTTCATCTTGTTTCTCTCGCGCTCGATGGGACGCTGGATGATTATTAAGTCGAATGATAAGTCGAATCGAGTTAGAATTAGCTCTGTATCCATGGCCTGTATGAGAAGGGGAGCGAAAATAGTTCATTCCCCTAGATATTCTCGTTGGACCTCGATTTACTTCTCGCAGAAATTTTTCCCCTCATCACCGCTGATTTTCCCTTTCCCCGAAATTCCCCATTGCCCAGTTCACAACATTTGAACATGTTCCTCGATTAAGTGAGAGGACCCTTTTCCTTTACGGAACTCCGACGGGAAGGCGCTTCCCAGAAGGGGGAGGGCGGATGCGGGCAAACACGGACTGACAAGAAATAATTGAGGACTTTCTCCGGGAAGGGGATGAGAGGGTCTTCGTGCACTACTCGACGCTGGGCGACGCGTTGGAGAAGAGGGCGTTCTTTGGCGATTTCTCTCGAGCTCTACGGCTGGCTTCGGCAGACAGGTCTTCTCTTCTGGCGTGGTGATTACCTATATGTTTCCAGCCGTTTTTTTCGCTTGCATTGCCGTCGCTTGGCCGTACTCGACACTCTAGGGTTCGACGACTTTTCAGCGTCACAATCTCGCCGGTTTCCTCTCAACAACGCCTGGGTAGTCCTTTGTGGAACGAGGGCTAGCCGAAAGAGAAGCCGCGGACCACGGTCAAAAATCCCGAAGAGATGTTGTTCGAAAAGTCGGAATTCTCTCGCCATCCAGCCGGCGATCGAGACATGTCAGACGGAGGGTCCGCGGATGTCGGACGGACAGTCTTGGGGGCAGAAATCAATGACAGCGAGTTTCTTTCCGCTGCTGGTCTGGGGCCGCCGTCGCGCACATCGAACGCACTTGCTCACACGCACAGTTCGACATCGGAGCTGTTTTTACCCTGATTGTGTCAAACGTGATTTAAGATTTCGATTCGAACAATTCGACGTTTTTATTTCGGGAGAGGATCAGACGCGACCGTCGAGGAGAGCACGAGAGAGAAGATGGAAAAAACGTCTGAGCTCCGCTCCGAATCTATTCGTGACTTCGCTCTGAGGAACTCTCGCTCTCCTTGACTCGTTCCATTCCCGAGCAAAAAAATGGAAATACCCAGACCGAAGAACACGCAGTCATACGCTTTTACGTAGCCACAAGCAGTCGTGAGCAGAAGCAAACATCTGCGCCAAACCACGGGACCGGTGACGCAAAACAAGCGAAAACCTCGAACAGTGAGGAAAGATTGAGAACGTTGCGAGATCAATGCCTGCGGTTGAAGAATTGTGAAACTCCGTGGACATGAGGGGATTAGTTGAAGCAGAAACAAGAAAAAAAGTACCAGGAACAAAGTGCCTATTTTCGCGACTCATTGGTTGTTTTTGAATGCTCCGGGAGCCCGACCCGCCGCTCGCTCCGACGGACGGGACTCGCGGGAGCGTCATCTTATCTGGCCGGCCGTGTTCACAGAGAGCGAGAAAAATCCGTGGAAAAAACGCGAAAAAATAACACCCTGCCGGTCGGCGGCTCGAATGCTCCGTCAAATCTGTTGGGGCGACGCGCTCGGCCAGATAAAGAGGAGGGAAGAAGTCTCTTCTTCATTTCATACATCGGCTGTTAGGCAGAAAAAGATGAGAGAAAAACATGAAAACGAGAGAGGACGACCAGCTGCGATGATAACACCTCTTCCCTCGGACCCGCCGGCCGCCGACCCACCAAAGCGGCGGCCGCCGCCGCCAGCCCGCACTGCACTTTAGCCGGGCCGTTTGTCGCTGGTATGACTTGTTCCCTGACTTCTAATCTCGGCGGCCGAGCCTGATGAGGTCGTCGGCCATCCTGTTTTGGCCGACTACTCCCTCTCCTCGTTCTTCTCTCCTTGTTTCCCCTACTCCATCGTCATCATTTCCTCCTCCTCTCCTAGTTCTCTGTCCTGCGTGGTTTCACTCCACGAGCTCGAGAAGAAAAGGTCCCCAGGATAATCCGACGACTCAGGACAGAGACGACACGACGTCGCCTAAATCGTCTCGTCTATCGAACAGGAGCTCGACACGAAATTCCATGGATTTCGCCCTCCGGTGTTCGTGCCCCCTGCGGATGGGCTTGCTGCACGTTGACGAGAAATGATTCGGGGTTTGGAGCATTTCACGAGAAGCTGCGCGTGTCGCTATCGGATGCCTAAATATTATATTTCTGCTATTTCGGTACGAGTGCCTTCATCTCCTCTTCGGTCTCATCTTCCCGCCCCGAGTCTGACAAGCGAGAACAATGGCCGGCGTGGGGCCCTACAAAACGTTAATTGGCATAGTTCCAAGAACGAGAGGATAACTCTCGATTAGCCCCACAGCCGAAAGGTAGACGGCACAGCATCGGCCGGAAAAACGAGGAAAAAGTCTCTCGTTTCTGTCGAAGGAGACCTCTCAGCCGATGGAAATCTATGAGCAGGGGACCGAGGTTATGCCGAGGCTCCTGCATGGACCCTGAGAGCAGGCGGTGTCGGTTGGACAAGCGAGCGAGCGGGCGAATGGGCGGGCGGGTTGAAGGCACGAGGGGGGAATCCACTGAAGAAAAGACGGTAAATATTCATGAGACATGATGTTCACGTGTTCTTCTCCCGGTTCGTCCCGTCCGTCCCTGTTTTACCACACTTCTTGATGTTTGAAGAAAGTGAATTGCGATTAGAAGGCGAATCTTGGTAACGAATCGCTTAGGAGGCTCGCTCGACGAGCAGCGAGAATACGCTCGAGGGAACAGGGGAGTGGGCTAACGGAGAAGATCGCATCTCGGCGTTGTCGGGCTCGCAGTATCGCCGGCGCCGCTGCCGCCCGTCTGCTCCGATGCCGGTGTCGCCCGCCCGGTGTGGGGGCCGCGTTCATGCAACGTTCCGTCCAGAACGCTCTGCGGGGTCCCGTGTTGGTGGCTGCATGTGTCAAGAGTTTTGACGACGGAATTCTCCCCGGCAGCCCTTAGCGATACAAGCGTCGAATAGGGTGGTAATGAAACTGAGACGCTTCGAGTAATGGTTCGTTTGGAAGCGCTGCCACCACCCCTCACACCGGAGACGAAACGCGACAAGGTCAATGCAAACACAGCGACAACATGCCATGCTCAAGTTTCGCTGGAGCTGCCTCGCATACCTTCCCTTAACCGCTCGGAGCGACGACAGCAACAACAAGAACGGCGGCGACGACGACAACAACAACAACAACACCGGCAACAACAAGAGCAACCGCAACAACAACAGCGACGGGGCTTTGCGGCACAATTTTAGCCATTACGTTCCGTAAATCGCCTGCCAGCTTGCCCGGTAACGTGGCATCCTGTTTCAACACCTATTTTCTCCTCCTTCCAATTCTCCTTAACGGGAGCTGAACAGCTGTTTATCGAGCTGTTCCTGGGTTCTCCTGGAAGGATTAAACGTGACGCACGGTGTTGGCTCCTGTGGCGGCGGTGGCGGCGCAGGCAGCGGTCGGGAGAAAAATGGTTGGCTGTGTCCAAGAGGGGAACCATTGTGTTCCTGACTAGCGTTCAATGTGCTGGAAAGATATTGCAATACACCTCGTGGCCTTCGTTCCTTAGCTCTTTCCTCGCGATTCGGGCCGGCGGGCGAGACGACGGCAGCCGCGGCGGAGGCAAGGCTTTATCCTCGAAGCCTGATTCTCGTCTGTTTCCTGTAGCGCGGGTTTCTCGCGGTCCCGCTTGTTCCCGACCGACGGCGTTACGACGTCATTGCCACGCAAATGGGCCTTGTTGTAGTAGGGAATACATAATTGCTAATAACGATATTGCCATCCGAGCCGTCAGAGAGGCAGCCAGACAACCGGGAAGAAGACAGCCAGGTTCGGTCGCTCGGCTAGGCCGTCTGCTCCGGAGCAGACACCCGTCGAACGGACGACGGGGAGTCCCATTGAGCGCGCCAGTGGCTGCAGCAAGTAGTGCGCCAGCAGACCTCCCTGTTAACTGTATCTCACAGTACTATATCGCATGTTCATTGCTGTCCTCTGGCTTGTTTCAGTGCCGCCCCTAATCGAGCGCTTCGCTTTTGACGAGAACCTCTACGAAGGAATGAGAACCAGAGTCTACTGCAACATCGCCCGCGGGGATCAGCCCATCTCGATCAAATGGCTAAAAAACGGACAGCCGCTCAATTCGGGAGCACAACTGCAAGTGCGGACACTGGATACGTTCTCTTTGGCCCTCGTGATCGACTCCTTGAATCCGGCGCACAACGGCAACTATACGTGCATGGCGTCGAACGACGCCGCGGTGGTGAATTCTACGGCTCAGCTTCTCGTACACGGTAAGCAGCTCATGATTACGAGAGAATTATTCTTGGAGTCGTGTCGTCGCTCCTGGACGATGTCGTGCAATTAATGTTTGGTCCCGTTCCAGTCCCACCGCACTGGGTGCGAGAACCGAAAGATTCGTCCGCGGTCGAAGGCCACAGCATTCACATTGACTGCATGGCAACCGGACATCCGATGCCCAGGATCATATGGCAACGAGGAGGCGTTGGTAAGTGACCACTGCACTAATGGCAGGAGATGATACTGCTGCCCGGTTGGTTGGCCGGTCGCTCGGTTGGTCGTTCGTTCGGCCGCTTGGTCTTCGCCCGCTGAATTCGCTCCAGTTTCGCTGCTGCGGTGGAAACGAGCAATGCTCCCATCGAGGAGCTCCACCGATGCGCGAGGCTTTTGTACTACTTGTCCGCTCCTTCACAGATCGCCAATCTTCAGAGTACAAACAAATACTCAGCGGTCCGGACTACCAGATCTTCGAAAACGGAACGTTACGAATTTCGATTGTGCGTTATCAGGACCGGGGACCCTACCTCTGCCAAGCTGCCAACGGGGTCGGATCCGGTTTGAGCACAGTGGTTCAACTCAACGTTCAAGGTTGGTTGGTTGGTGGGAGGAACAAACAAGCAAACTTTCCTGGACGATTTATGAGCCGTGCAGAAAGCGGCGGAGTGGCAGCAACTAAATCGTCTACGCCTGCCGACATGAAAAACTCGAATTCCCTCTCGCGGAGCGGCGTTAGCTTATCTAAGTGACGCCATTCCACTCAGCTGCGGTAGTCAGAGGTTGACGCGTAGGGATCGTATGAGAAACAATTCAATGAAGGATTATTTTCTTTTTTTTTCGTTTCCGTTCGAAACCACCATATCTGAATCGGGATCTCATCTTTGCAGTTCCTGCTCGTATCGAACACGCTGTCCACAACAATACGGTGAAGCTCAACGATAAAATGGCCTTGAACTGTCCCGTGAGAGGCGACCTTCCCATACGAGTGAAATGGTCGAAAAACGGTCAACTGCTCACGAAGGAATCCAACCTTTACGGCGTTCACGAGAAAACTTCGGCTCACGGTCTCATCTCATCACTGATCGTCCACAAAGTCGTTCGAAGCGATTCTGGAACGTTCACTTGCAGCGTATCGAACAACTTCGGAAACGATGAGATGCAGGTCCGCTTGTATGTTCAAGGTAAGCGCTTGTTTCTTCACGGCCCACCCGCTCGACCGACCGTCTGCTTGTCGGCCGAACAAGATCAAACGAGAATCATTTGTTCCCACGTAACGACAACACAAAAGCCTTTCTCCCGGCGAACATGTAGTCATCTCGCCCTGCCCCACGAACTACAATTTGTCAGAGGGGAGCTATTCGCGCCAACGGCTCGAGAGGAAGTTATTTCCTTCGCTCTGGGTGCGGTTTCGTCGATCACCACGCGCGAGAGATAAGCTCTCCCCGAGACGATCTTTGCTGATGGAGAAGATCGAGTTACCATTAGTAATTCGAGAGCATTGTTCTCCTTCTCGCAGAACCTCCCGAGCCGGTCGAGGGATTCAACATCACGAGCGTGAGCAGCCGGAGCGTCAACGTCGTATGGAGAGAACCCTACAACGGCAACAGTCCGCTCATCTACTACGTCATACAGCACAAGAACAGTACAGGTGCGCTTTCTGGACGTCTGAGCCCTATCGAATATTGGAAATGCTTACATCATATATTTAAGAATTTTCTTTGTGGGTTATTTATGCTTCTATTTATGTTTTTTCCCTTGCTCCTGATTTCCTCACCTCGATCTCAAAATCGAATGATGATCATGACGGATCAGGGCAGGTTAGGATGAAGCTTGGTATGACTGACGTTCCGACAAACTTTCCAGACGTTCCTTGGGAGTCGGGACGCGTCGTGAACGTAACTGTTCCGGCATCGGAACAAACTAGCTGGACGGTGCGGAGTTTAAGTCCTGATACGATCTACTACTTCCGCATCAGTGCCGTAAACGAAATCGGTGTGGGAGCTCCTTCGACGAACCTCGTTAAGATGCGTACCGAGGAAGAGGTTCCCGCTGGGCCGCCAACGAACGTTTACGTGCAAGCCGTGGGTCCCAACTCGCTTCGCGTCTCGTGGAATGTAAGCCGCTTATACACAGTTTCCGCCGAATCATTATTGAGCAAATGACGCGGCGACTGCTGCTGCTGCTCGGAGAGCGGCCCGATAAAAGCGAGTAGCCCCCTCGACGTCGAGCATAGGCTATGTGGAAATCCTGAGGGGAAAACTTGAGGAATTTCGTCGATTTCGCCATCTCGTCAAGGAGGCGGATTTTTTTTCACTTCCTCTCTTCCATCGAACCATTTCTACGTAATTTGTATATTTTCCCCCAGCCGCCGGTCGACGAATTGCGAAATGGAAAGATCAGAGGATACTACGTTGGGTACAAATTGCACAACTCGAGTGAGCTACATCTTTACAAAACAATCGATGCCAACAGCATGAAGAACGGAGGCATGCTCGGCGAGTGTTTCCTCAACAACCTTCGCAAATTCACAAAATACAGCATCCTGCTCCAAGCTTACAACTCTATCGGAGCGGGTCCACGCTCCGATGAAATCGTCGTGTCCACTGCCGAAGACGGTGAGCAGACTCTCTCATTTCCCAGATCCCAACGAACGATGCGGGTGGTCTCCGAGGAATAACACCTCACGTCGGAGCTCCGTCAAAATCTGTTCCCACGATCAGAGCATGGTGTGGGGTCTAGGGCGGAAAAGCGAGTGATTGAATTCCGAAACCGAGATTATTTACGCAGTTCCGCAATTGGCCCCGACCGGAGTCTTTTGTCATCCGCTGTCTACAAACTCGATAAAGGTCTCCTGGAATGCGTTGGATGCCTCGAAGCTGAACGGAATTCTGCGCGGCTACCAGGTCATCTATCAACTTGTCGACTCGCTCAAAAGTAAGTTCCACGAGATGGTCTTTTTGTTTACGTGGTCGAGCGCAGCGCTGGAATTCCGCGGAGAACGCGTTCAAGCTCGTCTACGACCGGCTTCTCTCAAAATCCGTCGCAGAAGATTCACGAACGACTCTTGAAACCCGTCGCGACGGCTCCGTGGAGTTTTGAAGAGGCATTTTTTCGAGAGCCGTATCGTGCACATGGATGACATTCCACCGATCACCTGCTGCTCTTTTCGCTCGTTTCTCCACTCTGTGCGCAGGTGGTTGCGTTGCACGGATGTTGCGCAGTCGCGGTGACAGAAGTGCGGCGTCAACAGCAACAGCAGGGTTGTATTCAAGTTGTCATTTCCTGTTCTTCTTCGGGGAACGCTGTGCCTCGCTCTGCTGCTCCCCTCCTTCTCCATCCATGAGCTATTAGTAGCAATTTGTTGCTGTGAGAGCAAGCATGCCGTTTTCATTCACCCGGAGCTCTTTTGTGGGTGCCATCTATCCGTTGGTTGGCTCTTCCGTTCTTTCGTTCGTTCGGCCGGCCGGCCGACCGTCCATCCATCCAGGCATTTGGATCCTCTTTTTCGTTCTCTTTTTCTCTCCTCTGAGCCTCGTTACTGGAAAGCGAGCGAGCGAGCAGGCAAGGAATCTGGATGAGAAGCGGTCTGTGCGGTGACGCATAACTGATTCACTACAGTGAAGACTCTGGGATTCCTTGACTGACTGACTGGCAGAAGAGCGAGCGGGCAGGCAGGCAGGCGGGCGGGCAGACGTTCGGTGCACGATCCCTCTATAGAGCAGGTTCTCTCGCTGTTGCTACTGTACGGCGTGTGCGGCTGTCTCTGTTGCTGTGTGGAATCGTTTTATCTTGAAGCACATCCGCGTTTTAAAGGTTACCCATCCGGTTGCCAGCCACCCAGCCAGCTGGGTCGCCCGGCAGGCTGACTACCGCTTCATCAGGAAGCTGTTCCGTCGCAGTCGTATTGCAGCGGAGAGGCTTTGAGCTTTTCTCGAGGGCAGAGTTTGCCGTAAGAGGGAAATCGGAGGACTCCGGGGTCGGATAGAGACGGAACCGAGTCCGTCCAACTACCACCATGTTCTGGGGGGCTCCGGGAAACGGGGGAGAAGCTCACTGAAAGTGCTTTGAGCGGGGAAACAGGAGGCGGATCGCTCTCGCCCTCCATTACGACTGATGCAGGGCTTCTTTTCAGAGGAATAATTAGACAATCTCAATGCTTTTGAAAACTCGACTGCTCTCTAGGAACGAATCCACTGACCTGGATACACTGGGCGGCGCAACGTGTGTGTGGGAGTGAGCAGTTCTGGAACCGATGGGAGAATTCGGTAAACAATCTTGTTTGTTTCAGTCGGACAGCGGGATTCGGACGAAGTGGCTACATCGTTACTCGTCGACGGCCTCGAAGTGTTTACGAACTACTCGATACGGGTGGCCGGGATTTCGGGTGGAGGCGTCGGACAACAGAGTGAGCCTGTTTTCTGCAAGACGCACGAATCAAGTAAGTCCTCGATAAGAGCGTCCGCTGGACTCATGCGCTTCGTCTCCGAGTTTCCGCCACTTGGAGTTTCCCAGGAGTTTTCTGAGAACGGGGCTATCTTGCGGAGTGGGAGAGGCGTTGCTGCACACATCGGACGTCTTCGCCGATTGTTCGTGTACAATATGAGCACTTAATTCCTCGCGACCGTACCGAGGATGGATTCTTCTGAGTCCTCGGCGGGGATCTCATTCGAGCATCTGGAGTCTAAAGAATACGGATGTTCGTACTAATTCTCAAAACTACCAAGGCGATTGTTGCTCTGTGTATCAGGAGGGAGAAATTCCATTTTGCTTCCATTCCGGTACGGATTCCTCGCCTTCCTCGTAGTCAGTCAGATGCTATCGGCGGAAGGAGACGATTTGCAGAATTTCTCTTTTTAGAAAAGGCTTTTTTTGCGGCAAGGATCCGTTTTTCGTTCCGCTAAACCCGACCATAATTAATGATAGATCCTCGCCCTGCAGGCTGAACAATGGGGCTTGCCTGCTTTCTCTCTTTCCGCTCGGTCTCCTCGCTCCCTCCTTCGGCCCCCCTTCCCGACCGCCGTATCCCAGACCAGCCGGTCGGCTCTCCCGCCGCGCTCCTTCCGCCGTGTAAACTTTACCTCCATCTATCTCTCAAGTGGTTTTGTTCATTATGCCATCTACGGTTGAGGGCGAGCGGCGGCGGAGGCGAGGGGGAAGCCCATCAGATAGCGATACCAGTCGACGTAAACTGCCAGTGAGATATACATGGCCACATTTAAAATGCATACTCGAAACAAGCGAACAAAAGCAACAAAAGAACGGGGAGAGGAAGAAATAGCTGCTGTCAAAAGCCGAGACCGAGGGGGCGCAATCGTGGCAAGCCGCAAGCGAGCGCGGCGTTTAAATGGAAAACGCGGAAACGACACAAAGACAATGCATACAGATCGCTTGTTATGACTCGTTTAAATTGTTGTGCCTGAGTGACGCCACTTTTTTCCGTATTTCGTCGAGCTGCCTTATTTCCCCGCGATCCGTCGGGTCGCCACCTCTTCCCTTATTGCGTTGGGTCGATGGGATAAGCGGACCGAAACCGACCGAGAGAATGAAGTGGAATTCACGCAGAGAAACGCAGATTCGCTAGCACGAATATTCTGAGCCTACTCGAACCCGAAGAAGTTGCGTCGTCGACTTGGAGTCTCGTCCCGAAATGTGAAGGTCCAGTCGCCGGCTCTCCCGTCGATTGTCGGGACAGCGCTATTCTGGAGCTCCCCGTTCCTGACCACGACAGTTTCCGCTTCCCGTCCCTCATTAAACTTGCCGATGTGTCGCTCGCGTCTCTTCCTCTTTCTAGTCATTGGAATTGGCGAGTTCCGCTGTTTTGTCCCCTCGTTCTCCAGAAAACGAAAATTCTCACGCCGCATCGGGGCCTTTTTCTCAAAGACTCAGTGCATTTCAGTTCCTGAAGAGCCTGAGGACATCAAGGCCTTGGTGCTAGCGCCTGACGCGATCATTTTGAGCTGGCGACCGCCGCGGAGACCGAACGGCATTATTCAATCGTACACCGTTTACGGACGTCTCAAAGATAACAACGTGAGTTATTCTTCCGCGTCGAAGGCTTGCTTGTCTCAATATTTTCTTTCAGCTCACCGGTTCCCTCGGAAACGAGAATTCGCTCGACGATTCCCCGGCGATGTATGATCGCAAACACTAAAACTCAAATGTTCTCCGTCATGGCACTCGAACGACCCGCTCCAAAAAAAATGTGTTTCATTGTTGTGGGATTCCAAAGAACGATTATTGCGTGAACAAGTTTCTTCGAATCGCATCAGAATGGCGAGAGACCCATGGTCCCACTACGGACCTCTCAAGCCACGTATCCCCATGAAATTTCCCATCGGGAGAATCCTCCCGCCCCGGATCAACCGACGTTAGGAACGGGCAGGAGAGAAAAATAATGCATCTCCTGCTTTCCTCTCCTACAGAGTAAGGATAGTTCCCGGAGGGTGTCAGTTCCAGCGGGGCAACTGTTCCACGAAATGCGGAATCTACGTTCCGGCCAGAGGTTCGAGTTCTGGGTGAGCGCTTCGACCGCGGTTGGTGAAGGACCCCCAAGCAAAAAAGCTCTTCAAACTCCCGACGTCAAAGGTAACGCCAAACGAACGGAACGGAGGCCAACTAGACAAGAACAACTCTTGCTTTTGCCCGTCCTGCTTGCTTGCTTGCCTGCCAACCCCTTGCGCCCGCCCGTGCACCTCGGGATGCATGACCGAGTTATGGATGGGCGCCAGCTTATTTTAAAGGAGACCGATGGATTGATGCTGCGGCTGCTGCAGTTTCGAGCACGAGCAGCTGCAGCAGCATCAGCAACAACACTCGAAAGAATTCCCGAGTGTTCCCGTTTGCGAATATTTTCTTGTTCTGCCCGTGGGAATGGCTATCAATTACAACCCCGGACCGATTATTCGAAAACGTACCTCCACTTCCAGCTCCGGCTCGAGTCGCCTCGTTCAGTCGGGCGGTGTCCGTCGTTCAGAAACAGGACGTGGAGCTTGACTGTCGCATCGCGGGATTACCCCTGCCTCAGAGGACGTGGAAAGTCAAGTGAGTATCAAGCGACGACTATCCTAAGGAGCCGTCCGAGAGCCGCCGCGCCGTTCGAATGGTCGGTGGTCCGACAGGGACGCTCGTCTGGGCTTGTCTGCCAAACGGGTCGGCGAGTTTGCGCCCATACTGACGGACTGGCTGAGAAGGCGAGCAGCCAATCTCGGAGGCTTCACTTTGCGGCTGGAGCTCGTCTCACCATTGCAGCGCAAGCCGCTCTCTTCGACGACGAGGGCGGCTGCCGGTGCTCGTCGGACGGATTCTTCGAGCTTGATATGAAATTCATATGAGCCAACCTTGCCCTCGCTCATCATTCAATCCTACTTAGCTCTTTCTATTAACTTGAACTCCGGCTCGACATCGCCTAAAAGTTCACGGCTCGAACTTTGCCGAGGCGACTTTTCCTTGATTTTTGTGCTTTCCGTTCCGTCGATGGCGCTGGGGCGACTCGAATCAAAGGCGTTCGCCCGCCCGCCAACGGCACACAGGAACATATGCGGAGTTATTCGATATCCAGCGGTGTCGCTGAATATTTTTTTCTCCCTATCCGAGCGACACCGAGCGCGCCTTACGAGGATCTCCCGTTCGACTCTGACGCGGTAGGCGAGTTCGTGTTCTTCTGACGTACGACGACGTGATTTGTGACAATCGCTGTTGTCATTACAGCGAGAGAATTATCTCAAGCGGCAGCCCTCGCATCAAGTTCCTCGGCACGGGCGCCATTCGCATCGAAAACGTCAAGGACAGCGACGCGGCTAACTATTCCTGCCACGTCTCCAACTCTTATGGCAAGGACCACGTGGAATACCACCTCTCCATCGCGTCGGATCCGAGCACTGTCTGTGAGTACCGGCTGGCGGAGGCTGGGAATAAAACTGTTGAAAACATCTGGCGTTTTCGGGTTCATGTCCCACTACTGGCGGGAATCTATTTTTTTGGCTTGGGAGTGTTCATCGAGTTCGTTTTTGCAGTGCCCCCGAAGCCGCACGACGTGGAAGTAGTCCGAACATCGTACAACAGCGTGATACTGTCCTGGCTTCGAAAAAACACCTCGTCCCCGATTTCGCGTGAGTAAAGTTCAAGAATGGATCGAGTGTATGTCGTTCCCGTCAAATATTCGTTCCTGAATTTCAAGTCGTGGGACTGGCGTACGAAAATATTGAAATGAGGAAAATTTAATTTTCTCGCCGAAAAAAAAACGATTTTTCTCCCCCGCAGACTTCGAGCTGCACTACAGCCGAGAGGCGGGATCTTGGGACAAGGTGAAGGTGCCGGCGGGTGAAGGTGCATCTAAAAGAATGTCGCACGAGCTCATGGGCCTGTATTGTGGTACTCAATACCATCTGTACCTCGTCGCTCACAACCCCAGCGGGCACAGCGAAGCCAGTGAAACGGTTTCGGCGAAGACTCTAGGGGACAGTAAGTTCGTCGGCAGCAGCCTTTGTTCCTCTGGGTCCCGTCACTCGTCCGTCCTACTTTTTGAAGTAGGTCTGTCGCTCGCTCGCTCGCCCCGTCGGTGGGTCGTTCGGCCAGCAAGCGAGCGAGCGGCCCCGCCACTTTCCTTATTAACATACATCTCATTTGGAAAATTCCAGAGCCGCGCTCGCCCAAGAAAGAATACTTCATTGTGTCAAACTCCACCTCTCTCACTTTGCGTCCATCCTCATGGGATGATGGAGGTTGTCCCATATCCCATCTCACCATCGAATATTGCCCTCGTTCTTCAAGCAGCAACCACAACCAGTGGATCGTGGTGTCTAGGAACCTCAGTCCGGACGAGGGTCCCATGACGTTGCATGATCTCAAGCCCGAGACGTGGTACAGTGTTCGGGTTACGGCAACCAACGACGCAGGCAGCACCGTTGCCGAATTCCCCGTCAGGACGTTCTCGAACTCGCACGGTGAGCTTTCTATTCATCGAGTCGGCTGTCTTGCACGTCGAATGCGAATCGCGAGACGAGATGGAATTATTCACCGACTCCGTCTGGGAGCGGAAACGAATCAGGCGTTGCTTTCCCTCGTCAGAAGCTGTTAGCAGCGAAGACGATGATTCCCATGAATGTTCTGATGGATGGGAGTCACGTGATAGGGATTAACTTCTAATGTGAGCTCTCGATCGTTCCGATAGTAACACCTGAGCTGATGGTGCACGATCAGAGTTATGAAGAACTTGCCTTGGTCGTGCCCTTGGTCGTCATTGTGCTGGTTATTGTTGCGGGGGTTCTCACTTCGGCGGCGTTGCTGTTTTGTTGCAAGAACAAGGCAACGGCACTGGCCTTCTTCAAACCTCAAGGAATGTCAGGTGAGTTCTCGAGTTTCGCTTCAACACCGGCACCAACAACGACGGCGGCTTGGCGCGAACCTCCCACTGAGATATTGCTGAACCACTTCCCAAACTTCGATCCTGTAACCCTTCATCCTGTTTAGTCTACTCTAGTCTGACGTTCTATCGGGACGCTCCGTGAGACTTTGAAGAGCCTAGTTCATCAAGAACGGTCTCAGAGGCTTTCAGCTCGGAGCCGTTCCGCGGCAGAAGACTGCTCCCCTCCTCCAGATATAACCGCGCACGGGAATGTCTCGGATTTTATGTTTGATACTGTCGTCATAGTTCTGTTCTCGAAAAAAGAAACGGACAGAAAAACTTCGAAGGGAGTTTCAAGCAAAAAAAACAATCGATGAGGAAAGAGAGGTAACGACTTGACCGGAGAACTCAGCCACGACTCGCGACATCTGACCCGCTGAAAATTCAAGAATCGTTGTAATCCCATCCCTTGAGAGTAATTTTTGCCACCAATCCTCCTTCCAGTGATGCAACGGGAGAGCCTGTCGATAAGTCCTGCCGACACGGCCCTGATGGAAGCCAAAGCAAATCAAGAAGTTACTCGACAGCTCTGCCTCGGTTTGGGATCGCCTAATCGTAGAATCGCTCCCTCGGCTATGCAGCATGGTGAGTTGAGGATCCCGGAGGAACTGAAGGGAGCCGTGCCATTCCACGGCCGTTCCATTTTCCTATTGTACCGGGTTGGCTCCCCGATTTTCGCCAGTCGCGTTCTCGTTCGTATCGAGACGGGCATGTCGATGCTCCGCTACAACAGGTGAACGATCCGTTATTGCAGCTGGTTCGATGGACGACCTGTCCTCGTTCGGTGTGTACGACGACCTTCAGAAACCAGGGGTCGTTCAGAACAACCAAGTTAGCCAGCAAACTCTTAGTATGCTCACAAGTCCCCATCTGGCTGGCGCAGGAAAGCCTCTCATGATGACGGCTACGCTCAACCGCCACAAAAGGCGTCCGCCGCCATTTTCCAAAGCCGTTAGCAACGATGGTAAGTCCTCGGGCGAAATCTATCTGTCTTTCTTTTGTTCGTTTGTCTTTCTGTTGGTTGGTTGCTTGCTCGCTCGCCTGCTCTGCCGATCGGTTCTTCGGTCGGTCGGTCGGTCGATCGCTCTGTCAGTCAGTCAGTCAGTCAGTCAGTCAGTCAGTCAGTCAGTCAGTCAGTCAGTCAGTCAGTCAGTCAGTCAGTCAGTCAGTCAGTCAGTCAGTCAGTCAGTCAGTCAGTCAGTCAGTCAGTCAGTCAGTCAGTCAGTCAGTCAGTCAGTCAGTCAGTCAGTCAGTCAGTCAGTCAGTCAGTCAGTCAGTCAGTCAGTCAGTCAGTCAGTCAGTCAGTCAGTCAGTCAGTCGGTCGGTCTTTCGGACCGTCGAACGCCCTCATGGAGGGCCCGTCGAGAAAAACTAGGGGTAGGTAACGTGGGGCTTTCAGCTGGCTCAGAGGGTATAGAGGAGAAGGAGGAAGAATTCCAATCAGAGTGCTTAAGTTCTGGTTCCGTTCGGTGATCTTTTCCTCTATCCTCAGTCCGATGCTGGTTCTTCTCACTTGGCTAGCACAAGTGCGAAGTAGTGATACCCTGGGCCCTAGACGCAAACGGGAGGAAAAAAGTAAAAGACGAGGACAGAGGAATAGGGTCTGATTGGAGGGTGAACGCGGATGCAGTGGGGCTCACGAGGGCAGGGCCACTTAGCTGCCGCTGCAACCGTTTCTTTGTTTTTTTTTCCTTCCTCACTCACTCTCTCATCCTTTCCACTCCTCTCTTCCATCAGATATCCTCTGTGAGAAATCCAATACTGCGCAAAGCAATCACTACGACAACCCGAGGAGCAAGAATTGGGAGAACGGCACAGCCTCAAACAGCCGTCCGTTTCTTCTGAGCGGAGGCCACGAGTGCAGTAAGTTGTTCGCTTATTTATTTCGAGCAGAAGAAGGGAAAATTATCATTCCGCATTATCAAACCGCCGCGTCAACCGACTCCGATGTCACTGTACAAAATCCCACTGTTTATTATTCCACGGAAAGCCCGATGTCACCTCGACCGTCGACTGAAATTCTCAATGCACTGAGACTCCATTGCCCTTCTGTTCGTGGTACACGTCACCGCGGTAACGCTCGGCAATCACGTATCAGATCTTTTGAACACGAGAGAAGATTCGATTGAGCCTTCCGAATCTTGTGAGAACCGGAGAAGAATCTGAAGGTCGTCGTACCTTCGAACAGAAAGATCCGGGAAGGGGTGACTGACGGTTTCTCGATCCGAATATCGTGAATTTCCTCCCTTTTCTGTTTTGTGTGTTCACGGGAGAGAGTGTGTTCGTTTGTATGTTTTCGATCCGGATAGCGGTATCCGATTGAATGGATGACTCCGTCTCATATGTTCGCCGGCAATGCTCACGTATTCGTTCAACGTAGACTCGAAATTTGCTTGCGTTCCGCTCCGGCAATGTCCGACTGCGGGTGTTATGTTCCTGAATGTATGTAACGTATGTGAGAGTCCGCTTGAGCGAGTGACAAATGAGAAAGCGGAGAAAATGTGAAATGCGGATATTGGCATCGATTCCGATCAGAATGGAAGTGATTGGAGAATGATTCTGAGGGCAGTGTATGTTGCGTTTCAGTGGGGACGCTGCCCCGTGGCCCTCGCGATCTACGTGGCCGCCAGTCGGGCACGTTTGGGCCTCGTCCACTGCATGGTGGTCCCCCGCACACTCCGCCTCATACAGAACGCACCTTAAACGTATTCGAATCCTCGCTTGAGTTCTCGGCGGCCAACGGTCCTTTTCGCGAGAGCGAAACTCAATTTTGATCTGCACACAAAATCCATACACGATTCAAACAGAAGGACTTTGAGAGAGTTCTGTGAAGGGTGCTAACTCCAGTCACTGCTTTCCGCAGCAGCTTCGAACGGCCATGATCGCGCCAGTCCAATTTACGGTACGTGTTCTGAGCCTTCCCGTAGCGGAGCCAATCTGGCGAAAGTCGATCCGAATCGACTCGATAATGCTGTGCACCTGATTGAGTATTTCTTGGCCTACGACTGTAATGAAGTTCCGCGTGTCTCGCACCAGCTGATGACGGCATTTTGGAGCCCAGTATTTTGAGATCTTAGTGAGCCAAAATCGGTGATGCTGCCTGTGCTCGATCCTTACGATTTAAGTTTTCTCTCCCGTGATGACTTACTCGGTCGAAGATTGATGACTATAGGAGGCCGGCCCAAGCCTTACGAAATCCCTCACCGACGCCGATGTCGGGAACAGATAAATTTTGACGCCGGTCGCTCCATGTCCACAACGTCCAGATATTTTCATAAATTGTCACACACATCGCAGATAGTGGTAGTGCGGAGTCTCATCGATCCAGTCCTGACCTTAGAGACTTGTCTGCTGTAGTATTCTAGTGCAAAAATCTTAGCGAACAATGGTTGGATGTCTTTCGAGAGATTGGGCTTGACTGATTTGTGATCTCGTTCTCGCAGAGCCTATCGCCATGGAAATTTTCGACTACGAGGCGCCCAACATGCCCAAGAAGGATTTGAGAACGCACACAATGGCGTCGACTTCATGGCGAGACGCGGATCGCTTCGAACCACGAGCCCGAATGTAAGTCCAAAGTACGGAAACGGAGCGCATGTCTAGAAAAGGAAGCCTTCTTCCCCTATGGCCACCTCCCGGAAAACCCGAACAGGCACCAACAGCGGGACGACACCGTAGGCGAGAGAGATGACGGCGATAGAACGAGAAAGGCCGCACAACAGCTCAACAGAACATGCGAAGAAACAACTGCAGAGATATCTCAACGTTGATATTGGAATTCCTTCGAATGGATGCATTCGCTCCGACCTAATACCGGGGGAACGGGAACCGGCTAGGAGGACAGACGGGCTGTCCCCGTTTTTCTTTCTCCTTCTTGCCAGAAGGGTCGAGCGAGTCGGCCGCCGCCGCCGCCGCCGCCACCACCACCCCCGCCGTGTTGGCAGACCAGTGTTTCTTTTCAAGCTGTTGCCAAGAAGGAGAGAAAACATACGCACTCACACGCAGGATGAGGGAAAAGAACGGGCCTATTTCTCGATCCGTCCTCCCCATCTCCTCGGCAGACCCCCCGATCCGTCCTCCCCATCCCCTCGCCGAGGGGCCTCGGTAGACCCCTGACCCGCCCGGGGTTGTTCTCTGCTCTCCATACAGCCCCAGGCCGTCCGTACATTGCAGTTCTGTGTTCATATATGTATACCCGTGGCGCTTCCCCCGCGAACTCTCTCGCATAAAAGTGCCCGTGGGAAGCCGTCATCTCTCCTTCTCGCATGGAATCCTTTCCAGCTCCGCATTTCGCGCGCCTGCTGGCCGTCCTGAGCGAAAAACCCGGCAATGTTTTTAGTCGGAGGTCTTGGTACCCTGTAGGCGAGCGGACGGACGGACGCTCGCTTGGTCGATCGGTCGGTCAGGATGGCGACCGCGGGAGCAAACAGTGAAATGAGCAGTGAGGCAAGCAGCCAGGAAGGCCAGCCCGCCAATGGAACGCTTTCCCTCACCCTTCTTGTTTCCTCACTTTTGATATATGGCATTAATAGCACCGCCTAAAAACTATTTCTCTCTCGGAATCGAGCGAGCGAGCAGGCGGGCCACCGCAGGCGAACTTCACTCGCGATGCCTCTATCGCCCGCCTCGCCGTCGCAGCAGTAGTTGCTCCCTCCCTTGTCCAGATCGTCGTGAGCCTGGTTATCGTCTTTCTGTGGGAGTTGTCGGTCTAGTTCGGACCGTGACCACCGTTTTCGTCTTAGTCGACGTCATGGTCGACGTCGCACACGCTCCGCACACCGACTGATCGGATCGGTGCGCGGCTCCCTACCGTGGATTTTTTTTCGCCAGGCAACACTCTTCCACGTACCCTTTTTTCCGTGATCTTTATTATTTCTCGCTGATCCTGTTTTTGTTACTGATTATTATCATCGTTCTTCACTTCGTGCTCTGTCGGCCCAGGAGAAGCATCGAGGCTCCCTGATCCTCGAACAGTGGCGAGGAAGGAGCCTCATCGTTGAGATTCACCGACGGAGTTGAGCCAGATCCGAACGAGCGTCCAGAGTATCACAGAATGAGAATCTCCGAGGTTGAGATCCAGAGGGGATTCTAGCTCCGAGATCGACGAATCGCTGCGGAATACGCTCCACAGAGGGGCTTAATAAGGAATTCCGGAGGAATTCGTCGAGCCCTCTGCGCATCTCTGATGGGAACATTTGCTTGATCTTCAGGGACGACCACTTCTACTTCGATAATGAAGACTGCACGACGAAATTCGATGGAGAGTCTTCATGCGATGGCGCGGAGCAGAGCCACGACAGCGGCGCCAGCGACGATGCGACCAGCAGAGGTGAGCTCAGCGTTCTTCGAACGGAAGGGTTTCCGTGACCACGACCGAGTGCTCCGTTGGGAGGGGAAACGGAGGGAGAACCCCGCCGTCCGCCAGGCTCTAAAGGCCAGGCAAGCGAACTTGGGAACGGTGCATGAGGCGAACGAGGGTTCGTACCACGCCACCGCAAGGAGCAGTTCTTTGCGCAGCAATCCTGTAATGAGGCTCGTCATCGTGGACTTTCCATCGACATCGGGACCGTCTCGTGACGAGCAGCCGCTAACGTATATTATATACGGAACTCAGGAATTACAGAGAAGAGAGGAAATATGGGCTCGAGGGTTGGGGCACGAGGGCATCGAGGGTCAGCGGCACGCTTCTGAAGAGATCAGTCTTCTCGAGAGTGGAGTCGATGCCAGCGAGAAATTTCGTCCTGATCGCAGACCTGAATTGTAAATGTGAATCAGGGCACGTGCCGCCAGATTGAAGAGCGTCATTCTAATTCGAACTTTCAAATTCTGCAGGCGACGCGAACAGTGCCTACTTTTCGTCGTACCGAGTTGTTCTTCCACCTCAAGAGCGCAAGTTTTTATGAAAGCTGCATTTTTAGCGTCCAATTATCTAGAAACCAATTTCCGCTGTTGGAATATTTAAGGACGAGGAAGCGAGAGACAAAAACAAGCGGGGTTGTTTCTATTGTCTGTGCAATAAAAAGATTTTGGAGCAACAAACACACGCGAGTGAACGAAGAGGAAACGGGCGTTCGTGGAACGAGCTCCTGCGATGAGAGGATGCGAGCTGCCGACTGAGAGTTGATGAGCTGATTGCGCGAGGAACATCATGATTCAAATGTTATTATTCTCATAATTATGCAAGTCTTCTGCGGAGAAGCTGTAAATCAAACCTGTACATAGCAAACCATGTATTACACTTTCTGAGGACGCTCCCATGGCAACTTGAGTGAAAACTACCCGAACAACGAAGAACAACGATGCTGATGAGATGACGACCCTTGCCCTTCAACCATGACGGAGCTCTGGAAACTGCCGCTAGGAGGAAAATCTCGGAGAAAACGTTTCCGCATCATTTAGGGAATCAGGCGGACTCTATTACCCACGAATGTTTGTCGACTCGGGCGTCTTGAACCCAAAACCGTCCTGGTCCGACTGATTCATGCAAACACTGTGGCGATTGTCTGTCTGCGGGAACGACTTATTAGTTCAATCATCAGGCGAGACGACAAAGCGATAAGGAAGCCGGTCTGTAGATGGGTAATTTGCCGCTGCGGATATTAATATGTACTCTCAGTCGAGACTGTTGTTTCAACGGATGATTGCTTTCGATCGAGCTTAGAACCTGAAGTCTTGCTCCTATTGTATATAGGCTTGTATAGTTGGGAAAACTGAAATTTTTTGGGTTGGTCGCTCTTTTCCGTGATTCCAGTTGCCCTCCGGCTCTGCCCCAAGAGACTCATCCTCCAATGAGGATTTCTCCTGATGGGAGGCAATTCAAGATTGGGCGGATTTTTTCGTGTCATCGTCGCATGACTTTGGAATGTATCGACGTGCTCTGAAAACCGAATTCGGCATGTTTGTGTCATCTGTAAGCGGAACGGATGAGCCGTGTGTTTGGAAGCCATTTCCCTGGCGAAAGTGTGTGCTTGGCAGACACGAGTGGATATCTGCGTTATCGTGTGGAAACTATGAGAAAACTCGACAAGTCAAGAAAGGGCATTATATCGCCGCCATATGCAATAATAATGACTCTCTACGCTCGACGAGTCGTTCATGATGTCAGAACGTACTTTGTTTCAATTTCATTGAAACATGATAATAATATTATATATTTTGTGGTTAGGGAACTTCCGTAAGAGAATGCTATCTGACAACAGAAGGTAGAGGAGCTATTCCGAAATAATTGAATTATCGTCTCCGCCACGAAGGGCCATGAAGTCGAGAATGGCGAAATGAAAGAGCGCGAGTCGTGACGTCTTGTCTGCTGATGACAAGGAAAATCCCATCGATGCTGAAAGTTTCTAAGGATTCCCAAGCGAAATCGGAAAGGGAGAGCGGGGAATAGCCTTGAAATACACAGGATGTAACCGCAGACCTCAAGTGAGCTCGATTTCGAATCCGATCCGAATCGATGGCTAATCGAATACCTAATGGAGGCATACTACGTTGTAAATCAGTGTACGAATTGAATGGAATGCTAAACAATATGAGAGTGGGGAAATCCACAAGGAAGAATCGTGTGGGAAGAACTCGAGAAATAAAATTTGTTTATATTTTTACTTCTAAATACTCTCGTCTTCGGAAAGAAATCACTCTAGTTGTTTGTGGATTTCTTCTCATTATCTGGAGACCGAAAGGTCTTCGAAGCGCGCGCTCGCCCCGTGTCGATCGCTCTTCGAGTAGTCCGACTCGACCGAGCACCGAGGCGCCAGCAGAAGCACCTTCGATAGTCGGTCGGTTGATGAGCAGACGAATCATGAGAAGGTGCATGGGGTTTTTCTCTCTCGTATGAGAGCTCGCGTAGAGCTCGCTTGTTTCTCCCATTCAATAATGGACAGGCTGCCGGTGGTTTTGACGCCGTAGCCTCCTGCTACGATCCCTCATCGTCGATCACTACTACCCGCCATTCTTGCCACTGCGTGCGTCGTGCCCGACCGACTCACTGGCTGCCCGCTCGCCTGCGTCGCTCACTAGCTGGTTCGCTACCGCGTTCACTCACTTACTAAGGCGCGCTGACGTTACTACAAATTGCAGTTTGTTCCTGACCCTAAGAAATGGATCTCTCCTGAAATATCCTCATACATACATACTACGGAAGGCGGAAGAGGGGAACGCCAACTTGTTAGCGCAAAGCAGGCTTCGCCGCACTCCGCAGGAGACCTTTCTTTCTCCCGCTTATTCCACAGCACAAGTCTTCGATATTTTTCCTTTGAGGAACGCATACCGAGACGCGAACTGAGATTCCTAGGGGAGCCCAGCGAGCCCGGTTGAGAATTCGGAAAGTTCTCACCGTTTTCTCCTGCAGATCCTAAGAGATACAAGTCGGCAAATGATCGGAAATCCAAGTCCCCCCGATGTCCGCACCTGGCAGTTCCTCCTCCCGACGTTGACAGTTACTTGTGGGGACCAGTATCGTATCCATTGAGAAAGGGGAAGGGACTGCAGATCCGTATTGGGGCCCCACAGGATTCTCGACTATCTGCAAGGATTCTTTCGAGTCTGTTGGGTCCGGCCAAGCTCCGTTTGTTTTTCCCTTCCTCCATTTTTCCCAGATTCTGCGGCCGCTACTGGTCTCTGTGCTGGCGTCGCAGTAGACTCGCTCACAGAGTCGCTCAAATAGCCTCGTATGACAAATGCGGCTATATGAGCACAACGTTGCCCAACTCGCTTGCCCCGTGCCTCTCTCCGTCAGCGCTTCGCACTCACCCTGTCTCTATCTTTTTGGGTCTCTTGCTTTCTCGGTTGGTCGTCGGCCGCTCGGTCCGTCCGCTGGTCCGCCCGTCGCTTGATTGTGGGAATAAATCGAGACATCGTGTCTCGCTCAGGGAAAGGCCGGCAGACGAAGGAAAGCAACGAATGTGGGGCTCACGCTGTCCTTGAGTTGGCGCGGACCAGGGCGTCGTGGTAACTGGGCTCGTATCTTCATGCAAAGGATCGCGCGTCAACTGAGCTACGCGAAGCGTGGGCGACATTGTGCGTATTTTCCCGGAGTCAAGGGTCTGATCTGATTTTCCCCACTCCGCCCGCATGTAGATCGAACTGAGGGTGAGTCTAAGGCGGATTCGTAGCGCGAACATCCACGCAGCCAGCTATTCGATCCTGTCTGTTCCTAACCTCTTCGAGAGTTTCAATCGAGATGTCTTTCTCGGCCGAGTCCGGTGGAGGATGAGCGCAGAAGTGCCAGAAACCGCTCGACCATCCGGCACCGGGCGGCTCCGCATATTCGGAGAAAATCCACCCCGACTTCTCTACCAGGGAGCTTCTGTCTTGCTAGCGGAAGTTTGACGACTGGTGGCGAAAGGACTCAACCATCTCGAAGGAAACCGCTACTTCGGCTGCTTCGCTGGACTGAATGGATGGACGACCGAACTAGTGAGTCCCGGACAAGTGGGTGGGTGGTGGGGAGGATGGATAGATTGATGCGTGAATGGGCGGATGGGTGGGGAGTTTGGTCTTCAGCAAGCTGGGCACCCGCCGTTTTGCCTGGCTCCCCAATCATTGGCAGTTTCAATGGCCACTCGCTGATTCTCGCAGAACTGCGTGTACGCTCGCGTCCTTTGTTCTTTTGTGTGTGTCATCTCCGGTGCGAATAAATAGCAGAACCTTCTCTTTCCCCTCGGTTCTCTCTGTGTATCTATCCAGAAAAGAAAAGGAGGATGTTAAAGCGGCGAGTGAGCGAGCGGACAAGTAAACAACCCAGCCGCCCGCTCGTTACCCGCTGCTGCTAGGAAGGTACCGAAGACGCGTAGCGCAGAATTAATCTCGCGTAAACTGCGCTCTCAACGCCGAAAGGGGAGCAGACTTCCGGTGTTCAACATTCGGTGGAAAGCGGAAGTTACAGCAGCTTCATCTTCATTGAGTCTCGTTCCTGTGCCCACACAGTGGTCCTGAATGTTGTCGGAGGGTCTTGTTTTCCGTATTCCAGCCGACGTTTCTGAAGGAGACCTCGCGGGGGAAGGAACTTCGATTTCGGGATATTCGCATCGCGAGTCCTCGAGTTTCCATTCGTCTGTTTTTCAATCAGGGAAGAGGACGGCCTCGTCTCCCCCCGCCAACAAGTTTTCACTACGTCGTGATTCCCTAATGTTTCGCAGAGAGCACCTCTGCCGTGATTTGCGTTCATTTTTCAAGAAGCATTTCCTGCGAGTGCGGAGTTCCTCCCGCTTGTCAAGTCCTTCCGCAGCCGCGCAGAGAATCGACCTGACCTCTTACCTCTCACGCCGTCAGTGGAGGTGACGCGTTCCGCTGGAGACTCTTAGGAGCGCGACAAGGACGACTTTCAAAAAGCTTCCGCCGTCAATGGGCTCTGCGTGTTAATTATTCAACACACTCGGGATAGGCGACAACGACGACAACGACACGCCGGCTCCGTCAATGACCTGAGTTGCCAGCCTGTTCGTAGAACGTCACCTACACAAGGATTAACGGCGGGCCAGCTTTGTAACAAAGTAGCCGAGCGCTCGGGGTCGTGCCGAGAAGGCGGGACCGCGAGACCGACGGATTACGACCTAGCTGAAACGTAACACGCATCAGTCGCTCGCTAACGCTTCCCGTAGACTACTCCTCCGTCCTTGAGATGAGTAATTCTCGAGTAGTTGCGAAACCGACCGCTCAGAGTTGAGATTAGTTTGTCGCCGTAACCGCGTCGAGAGTGAAGTCTTCCTCAAGGAATCTCCGACCCACGTGGAGTGGCTACAGGCCATCGTGTGAGTACATACGTGGAGAAGTTGCAGCTCCGAGTTGAACTTTCTGAGGTTTTCTCCGGGAGTCAGTTCGGAAGCGACCTAATGGCGAGCGCTGAATCAAGACTCTGCGAAGCCCCACGCGTGTCGCCGCTTGGAAGACTGTGCCCCATCTATTT